GGCCTCTTCATTTCAGTAGGAATCTTCCGAGGTCTTAAACACAAGTGCTACTTGGCGTGGTTAATGACTTTAGTAATCCTGAGAGATAAATATTCGCAAGGATCCAATCAATCGTGAACAAAACATTTATTCGTTAACGACTATAAACTTATCGCTAAACAAGAGTTTTTTAGCTCAAATTTTATATTTTTTTCTTCAGCCGTTTCTCGACAGCTTTCCCAGGGTTTGAAATACAGCAAGTCTTCATAGTTTCCCTTCGTAAGATACCATCTCTAGTCGCAGCAGATCAACCGAATGATTCCGACTTCTCCACAGCCGATAAGCTCAGCCGTGTTCTTCGCGCACGAAGAGACGTGGAAGCAGATCCACAACATCCTGACACCCTCGTTTAGTGAGAAAGATGTTCAGTGAGAAAGAAATTAATAATGCACGCTGTAGGATACGGCATGCCTTAACGATTTTGAAAAGCATAAAATCCACTGCTCATGCTCAGAAATCTGCCAATTTATCGTGCACATCAGTGGATCATCGAAGAGTAGGGCGGGGTGGGGGGGAGGGGGAGAGTTTTTTCAATTTTTTGCTGAGTATGGGCCGCTGGCCACTCAGAAGCCCCGCCCGACCATAATCTCTAGTGTGGCCAACTTTAGAACTCATCTTAGTCACTTTTGACAGTGCGGTAACAACTTTTTGACCGTAAATCTCCTCGAAATTTCCAAAAATGTACGACTTCATTTTAGTAACTCTGTTAAAAAAAACAACATCATTGTAGCCAATCAAGCCGCGAAATGCGTCCTCGTCTAGTGGCACATCACCATTAGCCCCTAGTGTCCCCCCTCCCGGGGATCATCCGGAAAGTCTTAAGATAGCGTGACCTATGAGGACGTTACTATAGTGTAAATTAAGCTGCCGAAGCAATTCAAACCGCTCCTAACGGAATGTGCATAGGTTGTCTGTTGTAGAGTTGAGATTTAAGACACCCTCCAGGGGAGTAGTAGGTCCAAATTGCTTTTTTTGTTTACAATTTTTACTTTAACATGTCCAAGAGGTGTGTTATTAAAGTGGAGCGGGCGGAAAAAAATTGCACTACAGACGGTCTGGCCTACGGGCCCTAAAGGCTGGATACAATCCTGCTTTTCTCTGTCATCTCCTTGGGCTCGTATGCCTACTTTCTATGGTTCATCACACAATTTTGAAGAGTGCGTGACGCGCCAAAATATCGTCTGCGTAGGAAGTTATAAATGTACGCTTTTACGAGCCCTTCTTGTTTTCTTTCTTTTCCTTTCCCCCGCAATACAATTTCAGTGACAGTAATAATTTTCTCATAAAAATCTTCTTGTGGATTAGTGCAGATTTTCCTATCTGACCTAAATCAGCCACTCTATCAAGTTTTTCCACAAGCGTATCACACGAATTCACGATCAACGACACCACTAACTTCATCTTCCCAGCGCTGAATGTGGGTGTCAGCGTCCTACGAATTCCTTTCCAGGTCTCATCTCTTGCAGCTGCGATGCTTTTGCTGAATCGGAGGTGTTCGTTTCACAAACTGGAAATAATTGCGAAAGTTCGGAAAATCCTTGATCGTAATTTGTTCAAGTAACTTCGGATCTGCTACAACTAGGGCTGGTTTTTCTCCCAGACGAATGGCGAAAACTTTACCGTACTTTTTAGTTTCATTTCGAGATACATGAGGTGCATTCCATTAAATTTCATTGTCTCAAAAAAGTTCTCAATAAATGGAAGAGGTTTAGGACCAGGAATATTACGCTTCTTGAGGTTTGCAAGGCCTTGCATTCCGTGCCAATGGAAAAACAACAATTCGGGGAAAGAGATCTCTGCGATGGCGGCAGGATGAGCGAGTTCCTCGGATCCAAGGGCCTCTCGTAGCACATCCATCGTTCAGGTTCCCTTGTTTTGAATATCGCAGCGTTTGAGTAAGCCTGGAGTAAGAGAAGAGAAGTTCAGTTCAATCTGTGTCGTTACTTCGTTTACAAAGAGAGCGGTGGTTTCGCACATTGAATTTTACTTCACTGCAGTCACGACACGGTTCATAAGCAAGTACATAAAAATATACCACTTTCTATGAATGGAAATGGTGTTAATTCTCCTTTATATCACTCAAATGACTAATAACTGGTTTGCCAGCCCTGTAAATTTGGAGAATACCTCTGTAAGTGTAACTTATCGTGTGAGGCAAGAGAAATCGACCAAGAAATGAAAATGTTCCAGTGCCGCGAGAACCCTGGGAAGACGACGGGTTGTCACATAATTCAAGTTTATTCTGGCTAGAAAGGGACTCTTTTGGGTGAAAATGGATGTAAAATGTCGGCGAGGGTTCGTTATTCAGACCGTAGCATCGTGTTGGAATCTTCTCTCCCGTGTAAAGATTTTTCAGGGTCATGCAAATTCTACCTATTGTCAACCAAGCGTGACGGCTCGCATTGTTAGTATAAACATTCCTCAGACAACTACGAAATGGGAATTACAAGCCAAACCTCCAGCATCTTGGATCCCTCCATCATCTTTTCCGTAGTGATTGCGTTGTTGCTAATTACCTACTGGTATGGTACTAGCGCTTTCTCGGTTCTGAGTCGATTGAATGTCCCCGGTCCAAAACCTCTGCCGTTTGTCGGCAATTTACTCGAAGTTCGCAAATATGGAAGCGTTCACTTGATGCTGTCGGAGTATGTACGAAAATACGGCAAAGTCTTCGCTGTTTCTCTCGGTATGAAGCCATCTTTAGTCGTAGCAGATCCTGAAATGCTGAAAACGATCATGGTCAAAGAGTTTTCTGTGTTTCACAACCGCATGCTTCCAACTCCTCCACCGCCTATGAATTCAGCCGTGTTCTCCGCGCGCGACGAGACGTGGAAGCGGATCCGCAACATCCTGACGCCCTCGTTCAGCGCGCGAAAGATGAAACTGATGGTGCCACTAATAGAGGAATCGTGTGACGTGCTGATGAAGAAACTAGAGGAAATAGCTGATACTGGCAAGTCATCATTATGTAAAATTTAAAATTACATTAAAAAAATGCATTATGTTGAAGCTCGGACATCTCGAAGCAATTCACTTTCCCACGGGTTTTTTTTTTATGTTTACTTGGCTGAAGGGGGAGGGGGTGGGAAAGTCTCTTCTCAAGTCCTGGCCTCCTCAATGTTGCCCTTTTGTTTATCTTTAGCCTCTGAGTAATATGTTCCCCCTTTACTTTACCTCTTTCCAAAGCGGGGGTGTCACAGGTAAAATGAATAGATGAGTAAGTTTGTTAGGAAATTGTGGTGTTGCGTCAGTGAAAGGTATTACAAAATAATTTGAGTTCATATAAATGTTAATCAGTCACCGTGAAAAGTTTCTAGAGCTGACGTTTCCAGCGTCATCCCCTTCTCAGAGCGAAGAGTTAAGGTGTTTGACATAGTCGGGATGCTTGAGAGGCGAGGCTTTTGGTGATTCGGATTTCTCTGTCGTGCATCTTGGTTCTATTCTGCAAAGGTCCTCTCGTCTCGCCAATGTTAACGTCGATGTAAACTGTTTAATCCATATTTTGTTTTCATTCATCTCATCTTGAAACCTCGCTTATCAGGTAAAACAGTGAACATCATGGACTGGTTCAGCATGCTGACACTGGAAATTATCATCTCTACTGCTTTTGGTATCCAAGCCAATGTACAAACTGATCCAGATGAAACACTCCTGACAAAAGCAAGGCAATCCTTTCGATTCCCCTTTATTCTGCGTATTATAGGCCGTATGCCTCTCATCAGGACAATCCTGCGATTGGTTATGCGTCTGAAAGGAGGGATGGGATATTTTGGAAATATTGCTTTGGAGATGATCCGTCAGCGGCGAAGAGAAGGCGGCACCAGCCGACAGGATCTGATGCAACTCATGTTGACCGCCCATGAAGAGTCCACACTACAGGGTGACAGCAAACTAACAGATGAGGAAATCGTCGCGCAGTGCGTGGCTTTTTTATTGGCTGGTCACGAGACCTCAATGATCACTCTTTCTACCATAGCATACCACTTGGCGTTAAATCCAGAAGTTCAAGAGCAGTTGCGCAAAGCTATTTTCCAATTCACTGAGGAAAATCCTAAAGCTTCCCTTTACGAGATGTCCCATAGTATCGAGTACTTAGACTGCGTCATCAACGAAACTCAACGACTAAGTCCTCCAGCACATCAGCTGAACCGTGAGTGCGGCCAAGATTTCCAAATCAAGGGTATCTCAATTCCCAGAGGTACGGAGATTATTATTCCTTTCTATGCCCTTCATCATGATCCCGAGGCATGGCCGGACCCGGAGAGGTTTGACCCCGGAAGATTTCAAAGCCCCGCTAAAGATACCCGTCATCCCTACCAGTACCTTCCGTTCGGTGCTGGGCCCCGGAATTGCATTGGAATGAGGTTTGCTCTGATGGAAATAAAGATCGCGATAGTGAAAATCCTGATGAAGTTCAAGTTTGAGCGGGCGCCCGAGACACAAGTTCCACTGGTTATGCACGCCGGTAACACTTTATCTCCTCGTGACGGGGTTCACCTAAGGATTGAGTCCATATAGAGACTTCTCTAGAAGTATTACCACATTCCACCCGCAAGCCTTCCTTAGTTAGATATTTTAAAGCTTGCCTAAACACCCGCAAAACCGGTTTTACTCTTTATTGCAAGTCCTTCCCAACCTTCATTCTTCTCATACTCGCCCCAGACCTCTCATCCGCGCGTCTGAATAACCAACGCCAGGAGCCTATTACTTATGGGCTCCTGCCAACGCGAAGTTAAAGAATTATGGATTGCTTAACGATTTAAGATAAGAATATTTTTCCTTTTTGATAATTAGCTCAGTATAATAGCTGTTCGTGCTTGAAGGCAGAGCTCTGTTGGATCAAAAAAAAAATGAACGTCTCCCTCTGGCTTGGCCCGCGCACAGAGAGAACAAAGTCTGACGCGAAAGTGCGGGGAGAGCGCAAAATGTGACAGTCATACTCGCCTGTCCATTTTCTTCGAGCGTTTGACACACATGATAGACAATTTTGGCTAGTTTTTGTCTTTGTCTAAACTTTCCGTAAACATCACCACCCAGCGGAGCTTTGCCTTCCTTCATAATCGTCTCTTTGCTTGGTTATGTTGCGTGACGATGCAATACGTGACCTCTTTCGAAGACCGGCCCGTCCCACGTCAACAGCGCTTTGCAGCTTGAATGCGTCATCTGTCATCCTTTTGGTTGATGACAGCTTTCTGACATGTCGAAAAGTATTATAGTATAGGACAGTGTAGAATTTCCCCAACATTCGAGGAGGCCTTCATTCCACTCAAGGTGACAAACACCGAACTTTGTCGCTAAAAGACTTAGTCTCGAGAGCAGAATTAGAACCTGGTGGCTTGAGAGAGAGATAAGGAAAGAAAAAGGCTTTCGTCAGGATGGGTGCCAGACTGTTGTGTTTTACTCTTGCTTGCGTATGCCTTCTTACAACGGCGGTGAGTGACTCTACGAATTCTTTTACCACCTCGTTGATTCGCCTTGTCTTCTCAGATGATTCTTAGAAACCAAGTATTATTATTATTATTATTAGAGACTAATAAAACGAAGTGTTTTTTCAGGGACACTTTTGCTTTGTAACCAAACAGGTTCTAAATTCTATTTGTCGCTTTCACGCTTTCTGCTTGCAAAGTAAACAATCCGCCATTGATTTTTGATTGAATGTAAATATTTGCACATGGTATCAATAACTTACTGATCTTTATTTGTCTTTAATTCTGCTTGAGTTTTTTAATGGAAAAACCATTTTACTATCCTTTTATTTCTATCTTGCTTAACTTCCCGTGTATCCCTCATCAACGAAATTTCAAACTGTATTAAAAGAGGAATGTGACTAAATCCATTATAATTTGGAAATACATGAAAAATTCCGATGATGTCTAAGTTTCCTGACCTCTAGGAAAGATTATAAAAAACCCCCTTTCCGGTTTTCTGCTAACCGAAACACTTGTACTTCACTTTACAACTGCGTTACATATTTCATTCCTAAAAAGTGTCATGTGGATGCAAAAAATGGTTTTTATAGATGGGAAAATTACTAAGAGTGCTGTCTCGAATTTCCTCTGAGAGTAGATCCCCTGGGTTTTTAGCTTTGAAACTAATCCCACATATTCGGGGTTTGATCTTTGGAGAGGCTTCGAAGAGGCTTTTGTTAAAAATTATAATTAAAAAAATGCTGGAAAATCCATGAGATTAATAACAAAATACCAATTTTTATGCCTTTCTTTGGAGATGATCAAAACTACTTTTGGTTTTACATTACGGGAATGGAAAGACCCAAGAATGGATTTTGTTAAAGGAAGGTGAAAACAGTCTGTCAAGAGCGCGGTGTAAAAGGAAGAAAAAAGACCGTAGCTACCTGTGATAATTTCACTTTTAGCCAGATGCGTTGTCATTGCGTCAATTATATTACTTTTGTTATTGTTTGTTCTCTTATTCCTGTTAACTTTCGATTACGCTTTATCTTTTTGTTCTTATGCTTATCCGTTGACGAAACGAAGACCGCAGAACAGTCACCGGTCAAACCAAAGGGTAGGTATATTTGTGTGGAAAAGATAGCTTTTGTGATGTGTTCTTTTTATCTGCCATATTTACGATGCCAAAATTCTCTCTTTCAGCTGTTAACCGTTCAGCTCGCGTGATTTAATAAGTAATTATTCCTACTTGCAATAATTCATTTCGCTACATATTAGTTCAGTGGGCGTTGTTCTTGTGGGGATAAAATTACGAAATTGTGAGGATATATCAAGTATTCTTGAATTTTGTTGGGATTTTAGGAAGGAAAGAAATCGAATTTACTGTGTCAAGCACGCCCATTCAGCTGCGCATAGCCTATTTGCGTGTTAGTTCAATGTGACAAAGTGCAGTGTACGAAACAAACTGATAATGTGTATGAGCAATTCAGTTCTCGGTTAAGATAAAAAGATAAACAAAACAAAAAGAGTACCATATTGTACACGTAGATTATGATTGTAATTGTTTTCTCTAGACGAAAGTTGATCTTCTTCAGCTGTCATTCACTCTTACATCTCTTCCAATCAGCCCTTCATTTGCAGTCTTTTTTTCAATTGCTTAAGTGTACAGTCGCAGTTTTTTCTGGGGTCAAAGACGACGTGCAGAAGTACGCCAAACATCCAATTCCCGGTTGTTCGAAGAACATATAACGCTATCCACCGAATAACTCTCTGTCTGGTTTATAACACAGTACGTTTTGATGACACCTATCCACTGGATAGCGATTTATCCGTTTGATAGCATTACCCGCCCTTTGAACTGCTGAGCCCTCAACGCCTTTTGTGGTTTGTACCCTCTTAGGAAATTTTTAATTTAGAGGAAATCCCCGGACTCTCACTTTTTTTTTTTTGGTTCTGTAAATCAAAAGTGTCTTTGTTATAGACTATCAATTATTTTAAGTATTCAACTGATCCAAAGAATCTGGGAGGGACTCAAAGCCTTGGGAGTGCTCGTTTGGAATTATAAATGACAACCTTTCCTAAAGAAGGTCAATGTTGGCGTTGCTCAAGCATAATCTGACAACTATAGAGGCCGCGTCTCAAAAAATTGTCTTAATGTCGCTTTTTTTCGATACATTAGTCAGTCAGAAAGAATGTTAATTATTTTTTTTAGTCTCCCCTTGCTGCTGGGACGCAAGCGGCGAAGCTCTCAGATTCGAAACGGCGAACTAAGGGAGCTGTGAAAGGTCTGACACAAGAAATGCCAAATCCCTCGCAGCAGATTCCTCGCAGACCTCTCGCGCGCTCGCACCGCTCACCAGGTTTCGCCGCCTATGCCACCTCGCCAAAGGGAACCTTCTCGCAGGCTTTCCTTTGCTTCTGTGGGAACACTGCGAATAACGTGTATCACCCATCAACACAACATATTGATGCCGTCCATGGCTTCAGCTTGCATCGTTTGATCTAGCTCTGAAAGACTAGTCATTATTTATCGCCTGGGGGGTGGGGTCGGATGTCTTTGGTTGTGTCACGACAAAATTTACCTGACTCCCCTCATTTCCAAACAATTGGCGGTCAATTTTGTATATTCTCATCCTCATACTCTGTTGGCGGCGACTGAACCCCCTCCCCTCCGTTCCCCATGCAATTCTCCGACGCTCCCCCCCCGTCATAAATAGTGATTGGTTCCTAATTTGTGTCAGAATTGCCTTGTCAAAGATTTTGTTAGTTTCCTAATTGATTTGAAGCTTTTGAAACATTAATTCCTAATATCCAAGCAGTGGTCAACAGATTTCAGTTTACGCGTGTACCTTCTTTTTTCCCCAAAGATCCTTGCCAGAGGGTTTTCTGTACTAAAGGACGTATGTGTGTTGTGAACGAGGATCGATCTACCACTTGTGTGTGTCCAGAATCTTGTCCTGAAGAGTACAATCCAGTCTGCAGTGTGTACCGAACGGAGTTCAACAATAAGTGTGAACTGCACAAGTTTGCTTGTCGACTTGGCGTTATGGTTGGAATAGAACGACAGGGAAAGTGTGATGACGAGGGTGCGTTGTTGGAAAAATCAGCCAGATATAGTGGCTATCAATACGTGGCGAAATTGTCAAAAAAATAAGTTGCTCAACCTGCTGGCGGGCCCTAATAATTAGCGCAACAGGACGCGCATTCCTCCGCCCGCGGGAATATTAGAGACGAGTCCCCTGAGTTGGGGAGAGGTTTTCTTGGGGTCTGGTCCTCATTATAGCTACACCCTTTCCAGACCTCTTGCCTGGTCAAGACCTCACCCTGCTCGTAGGTCATTGGAAATTCTCGTGATATTCACAATTCTTATCGAAACTTAAAAGTTGCGGGAGGAAAAATCGAATATCACAGTAAATAAATCATCACACCGAAAATTGAAAGAGCTTGTACTCAATTTGGACCCATGAACGTACACAGTACGCAGTAACCATCAGCGATTATGTCCTCTTGCGTTTCGAAACAGCATATCTGTCTTTAATTCATACCTCACCAGAATCCGTATAGGCAAATTCATATTCAGCCAAATGCATTGTACAAACTGAGGCCTTTTTGCTTCAAAAAACAACAAAGGTTATCAGATGTCCTTTTTAATCAGATGGTGATGTTGGTGACCAAAATGAACTGTTTCAATTCAAAAGAAGGCAGGAACTCCACCCTTGTTCTCCCGATACGATGAAACGTTCCTTAGCGTTACATAGCGGTGATTTATTTCCTGAACAATACCAAAGGGGAGCAAAGATAAAATATTCGGGACCAGGGCTGCTCCCCGCCCCCTTTACTCCGGTGGTGGTGGGGTTGGGGCTATTTCCGAGCCTATTTTTCCGTTTTCTTACCTGCTTGACTTTCTTTTTCTTGATATTAACTTTCTGGACATTTTTAGGAGACAAGTGGAAGTGGGGGCCGTGCTCAACCTCCAGTCTTCAGCAGTTCCATGATCGATATCTCGAATATCTAATGTTTGCACGAGAGAAGGAGTTGGATCCAGATTTCCCACTTGAGTCGAAGAGATTGGAATCGCTGACATATGAGGAACGGAAAGCAATTATAGAGGTAAATGGATATCACTCCCTTGCAAGATACCTGTCTTATTCATCTAACAGATATTTTCTAATCGCTCTCTAACAAACAGACTCTAATTAGCTGACACACGGGCCTAGCCGCGCTTGGTCACTGCGTCACGACTGCGAGCCAAGTATATTCCCTTTCAGTCCTCACACTAAGTCAAAAAGTTAATATTCTGGCACTACCCTCGCCATTACGTATAGCCCTCATACGGGGATTTTTTTCTATTTTTTTTATCTAAAAGCGCACGCAAGATCATTTCGTAATCTCTCTTTTATTTTCTTATGTAGTGGGAATTTTATGGTATGGACAAGAACCACAATGACATTCTCGACAAAGACGAAATCAAATTAATGATCGACCCGAACGAAGACTGCATGATCGGATTTATGAAGTCATGTGATTATGATCATAAACCGGGAATCAGCAGAAAGGAATGGAACGAATGCTTTCCGCCAATCAGTCCTGGTAAGTAGGTAACATATCAGTGGAAAAATTACGGGAAAAGCGAGTGACATATTAAGGAAAAGCGCTGTAAATGCGCGGGAAAAACGCGAGAGGGGCGTTAGGAAAAGCCAGCGGATAGTGGCTTGAGAGAAACTACTGCGATATGCTTTGAATCATTATTAAGCATAGTAGACGGACTAAGACAACCTTTTAATTTTCGCTCGCTTACCTTTTCGTCCTTCACTATTGTCAAGTTGGCAGCGGGCT